CGACACCTTAAAGGCCGGTCCATGAAAATATTGTCGGTCCATGGCGCAAAAAAGGTTGGGGACCGCTGCCTTAAATCACCCTTTCCCTCTGATAAACTGTCTGATTACATTCTTACATCATATGAGAGTTTATTCACGAAGCATCAGAGTCCAACAGTGTCCCACAGACTTATTTAAGTTAAATGTAAGTTAATGCTGGCTAGATCAGTGCCTAACAGCAGCTAAGAGAGGGTAACAGCAGCTAACAAAAGCAAAAACAGCAGTAGTTATGAATAGAAAAGATCGGGATAGCCTCAACAACTCAGTCAAAAGTGAGCTTCACTGACTCATCAACTCGTTCGTTTCAGAGTCCCTTCACAAAGTTTTACAGCTTCCTCCAGAATATAAAAAGTGGATGTTTCTCACCCAACACTGACAGCTGAGGTAAACAGCTGACTCAATAGGAAGAAACTTAGAGGTCAAGAGTCACTTTGCTGTCTGAGTACACTTACTACAGATGAACCACAGCCAGGGTCTTTGAGTTAACTCAGGGGTCCAAATATAAAACACTGCATAATGTTTAATTGACCTCATCTGTTTTCTGGACCCCATAGCCATGACTGCTAAGGGTTTCAGTCTAACCTTAATGTTTTTTCTCTCTTTTGGCTAACTAACATGTGTTTGTCCTTTAGCATCTACCATTACTAGGATTATGAACTTAAATTAGGAGGGGCAGTAAAAACAGAATTAGGCTGACCACAATCTACTGGTGAAATTTTAGACAAGGTTCAAATCGGATAATAAGGGAAGTTTTCAAAAAATGAATAGATACAAAAGAGAAGAATCTAGCAGTGCTTGTTCATAGTTATGCTAATTTATAAAAACTGTGGACACTGATTTTTTGTTTGATTAATTGTTTCCCAAATTCTTTTCTGTTTCTTCAAAACTAGACAGTCTTAAAAAAAATAAAACTCAATCGAATTACTGTTTCTTAACTAAAACAAAAAGCTTATCAACTCAAGTAATATCAAGTATTCTAGAGACAAAGGTAAGACCATCTTACTGACAGCTGAAGCTTAGCCCAAATTGAGTGATGCAGGACAATTATCTTAAGACAAGCAGCAAAAAGAAAAGAATCACAGTGCTGCGATGGCCCAATCAGTCCAGACCTCAACCTGACTGAAGTAGTAAGTAGTAAGATCTTAAGAGGGCTGTGCATAAACGAATGGCTGCAGATTTTAATGAAATGAAGCAACACTGTAAAAAAGAGTGGACTAAAATCCCTCCACATCGATGCGAGAGAAGCCGTACAGCAAACAGTTACAAAGAAAAGGCCAAACCTAGCAGTCAGTCAGTCAGTCCTCTCTCAGACATACAGTCATTGACAGCATCTGAATGTGTCAGCTTCGTGACTTAAGCACCCTGTGCACTTTCCTGTGAAAGATCTGCAAATGTCTGATCAGCTTTTATTATTTCCAGTAAGATTTGCACATTCATCTAACAACTAGGCAGCTGCAGCAGCACCTTAGCACCCAGCGACACACAAACACACTCACTTTGCCACTTTACTTAGTGACAATAGCAGAGAAAACTACACGCTGAAAAGTGTGGTTACACGTAACTAGAGCTGATGCTGAGAATACTCATTTCCACAAGTGCGACAAGTGTTTTCTCTCTCTCTGTCTCTGCTGTTGGTACGTTTGAATGAAGCTGTGAGGAACATTAACATACAGATGCATGTTGTATCATAGACACAGATGAAGCAATGTCACAAACCCTGTGTCTAGGCCAATATTGCCAAAGGTATTCACTCACCACCCATCTAAATCACTTCTATGGCCACAATT